CTGTTCAGTTTGGAGCTCCTGGGTCCGAATACCACCAGGGAACACCCATCAGTCCCCCAAAACCCTGGGACCCATCCCATTTTCAGCAGACCTGGCGGGTCCAGGCTTGCCACGGGGAGTCCACCTCCCAAGGGGCCCTCCCTGCACATGTGGAGCTGGGTAGCTCGAGACAGCCCTCTGGCTGGACTGTGGTGCTGAGGTGAGGGCTGCGTGAGGAACAATCTAGGAAAGGAGCCCCCTGATTGCCAGAGGCCGCACTCCGGGCTCCTCTGGACCCCTTTGCCCTCACCGCGCCCCTTTCCCTCAGGGGAGCAACGATGAGCTGTCCGAGAATGAGGAGGACCTGGAGGAGAAGTCAGAGAGCGAGGGCAGCGACTACTCCCCTAACAAGAAGAAGAAGAAAAAACTCAAGGAGAAGAAGGAGAGAAAAGCCAAGCGCAAGAGGAAGGAGGATGAGGAGGACGAGAACGAGGAGGGGTGTCTGAAGGTGACGCGGGCCTGACGGGCCACCTGGCACCTGGACCGTGGCCCGGGCTCTGCCTTCCCAGTGGGGCCCAGTGTGAGGCACTGGCGCCCCCTCCCCGTGCGCCCGAGAGCGGGGGGCGGGCAGGGGGTGGTCCCCACGGCCTTGGAGGCGCTGGTGTGTCGGGGTGGCAGGAGTCTGGGGAGGACGCTGCAGGGCCCGGGCCCCAGGGTGGGGCAGGTGGGCGCCAGCTTCGCCCCTCTGGCCTGCTCTGGTGGGTCACCTGTGTGGTGGAGAGTGGGCCCCACTGCCCGCTTCTGGGGATGGGGAGCAGGCCTGGCTCCTGGCGTCCAGGCAAGGGCCTAGTCCCCAACTGGACTGGCTTGAGCCAAAAGGCCCCCCAGAGAATCATGGGGAGCGGGAGTGATGGAGCAGATTTGATGGGCCGGAAGGATGTGTGGTTAGGGGGTGGGGCAGGGCTGCCAGGTGAGTGGGAGAGGGCTGAGGGCTGCTCCACACACTGTTCTTCCCTCCCGTGAGACAGTTTTGCCACATAGATGGGGAAACGGAGGCACAGGGTGGGGAGCAGTGTCCACTCTCCACTCACCGCCAGTGAGCCAGGGCTGGAGGGGCTGTCCTGGCTCAGCACCCCGCCCCCAGCCGGCCGAGTCTGCCCGTGGCCAGGCTTGGACCACGGTCTCCAGAACTCACTGTGCGGCCTTGAGAAGCCACTCCGGCCGGGCCTCAGCGCCCACTGGGAGCGGGCAGCCGTGGTCCGGGGCCCCTCTCGGGGCCAGCTGGGCCCCTGTGGCCTGCCCTGCCAGGGCATTTCTTAGCTGCCTGTCCCCCGCCCCAACTCCCCTCCCTCTTCGGGCTGCTGTTCTGTCCTGTGGCCCGAGTCCAGTGCTCGAGGGAGGGGTGGGGCTCCCCACCCCCACAGCAGCCCCGAGATTCCTAGCCCTGCATCTTCATGAACTGGGGTGCTCAGGGTGTTTCCGGGGGCCAGTGAGGACTTCAGCCACCCCCTCCTCCGGTCCCCAGGCCTCCCAGGCAGGGCCCCGGGGGGGCGTGTCCATTGTGCAGGCCTGATTCCCTGTGCCCCCCGTCCGCAGGAGCCCAAGTCCTCGGGGCAGCTCATGGCCGAGTGGGGCCTGGATGACGTGGACTATCTGTTCTCTGAGGGCGACTACCACACGCTGACCAACTACAAGGCCTTCAGCCAGTTCCTCAGGTGGGCTGTGGGGCGGCCGCCCTGGTCGGGGCCCGCAGGACCATCTGTGAGGCCTGCTCTCCCCAGGCGGCACTGTGTGGGGAGCCCCGGCTGCAGTGTGGAGCCGGGACCGGCCGACAGTCCTACCTTGGCCGGGGCCCGCCCTGGGTGGGTGGCCCAGCGGGCCTCGCCTCAGCCCTGCCTCTGCCCGGGGGAGCTGCAGCCCGCTGCACTGGCCCCTCCGGTCTTGCAGTCTGGAAACCCAGCTAGAAAGTTGCTGCAGGGTGGGAGGCGTGTGGGGGGGACCACTGTCCCCGCCCCCCGCTCCCCCCACGCTGCCCAGTTCTCTAACCCGGGACACAAGCCAGGGGGTTTCGCAGATAGGGGAGAAGGGGTGGGCCCTGCTGGGGTCCGGTGTGGGGTCTCATCCTCTCTCTGGCTCTCGCAGGCCGCTCATTGCCAAGAAGAACCCCAAGATCCCCATGTCCAAAATGATGACTGTCCTGGGCGCCAAGTGGCGGGAGTTCAGCGCCAACAACCCCTTCAAGGGCAGCTCTGCCGCAGCTGCCGCCGCGGCGGTGGCCGCCGCCGTGGAGACGGTCGCCATCGCCCCTCCGCTGGCCGTCAGCCCCCAGCAGGCACCCCAGCCTGTGCCCATCCGCAAGGCCAAGACCAAGGAGGGCAAGGGTAAGGCGCGGTGGGCCTGCGGCTGCAGGGCAGCGGCCGCACCCCGCGGCGTGGCAGGAGGGGCGGTGTGCGGGGCTCCGGGGGGGCCCTGGGCGGGGCAGGCCGAGGGAAGGCTGCGCTGGGGCCGCTGGAGTCGGGGGCTCTGACTTGAGGCTCCCAGGGACGAGGGGTCGTGAGGTTGGTGCCTGGACCCCTCGTGAGGGAGCCGCCACTGTGTGCAAGCGCACCCCGGGAAGGGGCGTGCCTGGGGAGTCAAAGCCAGCTCCCCTCTCCCTGTGGCTGGGCGCTGCAATCGCAGGCAGTGGGCGTGGCCGGATGGGCGTGGCCAGAGGTGGGCGTGGTCAGGACAGTGGGCGTGGTCAAGAGTAGCACGGTCTTCCCGGGCCGCTGAGCGCCAGGCGTAGGCCGAGGTCCAGATGCAAAGTCAGACTCGGGGGGCCGGGTCTGGGTGGGAGAAGGGGGACAGCAGACACTGGCTGTGGCCTGAAGGCCCTGCGGCCGCCTCGGACCCCGCAGAGGGGCGCCCCCGGCTCTCAGCAGGGTGGCGTCCACGCAGCCTAGACTTTGGGTGCCTGGGTTGGGATTTAGACGAGGAATCGAAAGGGTCTGGAAGCCCTGGTTTCAGCCCCGGGCGCTCGGGTTCGGGACAGTGCGCCCTCGCCAGCTCCCTGCAGGCGTCCCGTGGCAGAGTTCGGGAGTTGAGGTGGCCCCTGCTTTCCACCCTGGGCGCCCCAGCCTTCCTCGCTTTCTCATTCCCCTCGCGCTCCAGCTGCTGAGCTATCGATTCCCTGGGCCGCCTGGTCAGAGCCTGAGAAATTGAAATGGATTTTCTGTGGGCCACCAAGGGACAGCTGGGCGCCCAGCACCGTCTCCTTTGGCCTGGTGCAGCTGGAGGTGGGCCTGGGTGCGGCCACCGCCTCCCAGCCCTGTCTCCCCCACCCCAGCCCAGTGGCAGAGGGTGCTGCGGGCATCATCCCTCCCCAGGTGGCTAACTGCCCTGTGGCCGGCAATGCAGACGCAGCCCACCCTGCTGGCCCCTGAGAGCCCAAGTGCCCGGCGTGACTGGCAGAGGCCAGGTGGCCTTGAGTGGGGCCAGCGATGCCCAGACCTGGGGATAGCCAGTGTCTGGCTCCTTCCTGGCTCAGCAGTGCCCTTCAGTGACCCTGCTGGCTCTGCGGGTCCCAGGTGTCAGTGGGGACAGTCTCTGTCTGGGGAGAGGCGGGACAGGCTGTTCTTGGAGAGGCAGCGCAGTGGCCACTGGTCGGGTTTAGGCTCTGGCTTCTCCCCCCTGACTTGCGGTGTGCCTCTGAGCAAGGACTTGACCTCTCTGAGCCAGTCTCAGCAGGGCCTGGGGCAATCTGCCCTTTGGGGCCACTCTGAAGAGCCGAGGCTTTCAGGGCCTTTGGGACGCGCAGTGAGGGGCGTGTGAACGGGGCGGGGTTGGTGAGCCCACCCTCCCCTTCAGGGCCTGGCGTGAGGAAGAAGATCAAAGGCCCCAAGGATGCCAAGAAGAAGGGCAAGGGCAGGAAGGTGGCCGGGCTCAAGTTCCGCCTCGGAGGCGTCAGCCACAAAAGGAAGAAGGGCTCCTCGGTGAGCTGGCGCGCGCGGGGAGGGAGTGCGTGCCATAACGGGAGCCACGCGCCGTGGCTGTGTGATGGGGACAGTAGCCTGGAGGAGCATTTTTAAGAGAAGATTGATTCATCTATGCACACAGAGCTGGGGTACGGACTCCCAGGGACAGAGCGGGGAGCGGGATAGGCAGATCGCCGAAGCCCACTGCGGAGGGGCACAGCGGGCGGGCCAGGAGAGGTCTGCGGCGCCCTGGGGGTCGCCTCCAGGGTGGGGCGCGAACTCGCAGCGAGGCGGCTGCAGCAGCCTGCAACGCTGCGCCCTGACCCCTGCGCCACCAGGGAGGGCCCCTTGAGGTGCCTCTGCACATGCGTGGATGTGAGGATCGGGGTGACCATGCAAAGCAGGGCCTCCTCCTTTTCCTCTTGAGCTCCAGCTCAAGGGCCGGTCCTGCACCCTCCCCTGCAGGCCTGCTGCCTCTGTTTCCCCATTTGGCCCGTGAGGGGTCAGGTTGGAGCCTTCCAAGGGTTCCTCTGCTTGGCCCCTGGGCTGGAGCTCCCCCGGACACCCTGGTGAGCTGGAGCTCTTTGCCAGCACCGCTGCCCACAGCTGCCCTGCGGCTGGGCAGTAGGTGGGAGAGTCGGCCAAACCCTAAGCGTCTGAAGGGCCCTGGATGCCAGACTGGCAGGGGGAGGACAGGAAGGTGGCATGTAGGCAGGACCAGACTCCCTCGCCCGCACAGAGGCAGCTGCAGCGCCAGTTTCAGACTGAGGCCACGTCCTTGTCTGAGCCTCTAGGCCCTCCAGCGGGGCACCGTGGCCTTTACTTAGCTCACCGCAGCCCTGCAGAGGTGCGGAGAGGGAGGCCCTTTCTCTGTCCCTGGGTAGAGGTGAGTGACAGGTCGAGGTTAGTGGCTCTGGAGGGGTGTGGAGCGGCCAGTGTGCCTGGCCCCGGAACTGAAGGGCCGGCTCTGCTCGGCAAACGTTCAGCGAGCGCGTGCTCATGAGTTAAGTCCTCTGCGCCGCAGAGGGCGGCTGTTGGGCAGGGCTGGGCAGACAGCAGATGGGGCAGGCCACGCCGGTGCCAGGCAGCAGGTTCCGTGAAGGAGCCGTCTGGGAAGGCTCCGTGGGGCGGGGCCCTGCAGCACGTGGGGGTTTGGAAGGGTGGAGGACGGGGTCGAGGTGGGAGAGGGGGAGCCCCTGCCGGGCCACACAGCACCCACCTTCTGCAACCTCAGCTCACGGGGCCCGTCTCCCCTGCAGAGTGAGGAGGATGAGCGGGAGGAGTCGGACTTTGACAGCGCCAGCATCCACAGCTCCTCTGTGCGATCGGAGTGCTCCGCAGCCCTGGGGAAGAAGAGCAAGAGGAAGCGCAAGAAGAAGAGGAGTAGGACTTCTGCGGGGCCCTTAGCTGCCACCGCGGTGTGGGTGCAGAGCCCCAGGGAGGGCATCCTCGTGCCTCAGCCCCCGGGCCCCACAGGAGCACTCTGCGTGTGCGGGGTGGGCTTCTGTCCTGATGAGGCAGATTCAGGGAGCTGCGGTGTGGGGCGGCCCAGGGCATTTGCACTGCTGGGGGCTGGAGATGGACATGCTTGGCCGCACTCACCTTCGGTGCATCAGTCCTCTGCCCCGCCCCCACGGCTCAAACCACCCTCCCTGCCCACCGCCCCTTCCCGGTGTCCTCCTTCATCCCTCCTCCCCCTCCTGTGTCCCCTTGGGCCACTTTTCTGCTCACCCACCTGGGCCCCACCCTCCCTCCATTCCTTTTGTCCTTCTTTCCACCTCCTTTCCCTTTTCTCCTCCGGTAATTCTCCAGCCTTGTCCACCTCCTGTCCAACCCTCCACGCCCTCATCCAGCACCTCTGACGTGCCGTGTGCCACCGTGGCCTGGGGACACACGGGCTGGGCACTGGGCGTGGGGCAGGCCCCCCAGAACCCCTCTGCCTCCTCCCCAGTTGACGATGGTGACGGCTACGAGACTGACCACCAGGACTACTGCGAGGTTTGCCAGCAGGGTGGGGAGATCATCCTGTGTGACACCTGCCCGAGGGCCTACCACCTGGTCTGCCTGGACCCCGAGCTGGAGAGGGCCCCGGAGGGCAAGTGGAGCTGCCCGCACTGTGTAAGCCCTGGCAGAGGCCCCTGGGCAGAGGCCCCGGGCTGCCGTGGGGCCGCGCCTGGTCGCCCGGGGCGGGACGAAGCCAAGGGGGCGGGCGGCCCTGGCCAGGGTGCCTCCACCTGCGCTTGCGTCTCCAGGAGAAGGAGGGGATCCAGTGGGAGCCGAAGGACGACGACGACGACGACGACGAGGGCGGCTGCGAGGAGGAGGAGGACGACCACATGGAGTTCTGCCGCGTGTGCAAGGACGGCGGCGAGCTGCTCTGCTGCGACGCCTGCCCCTCCTCCTACCACCTGCACTGCCTCAACCCGCCGCTGCCGGAGATCCCAAACGGTGAATGGCTCTGCCCGCGCTGTACTGTGAGTGTTCCGCCCGCCCCGCGCCGAAGC